CTTATGGGTTGCGGTAGAGGGAAAGAAGAAAGGAAAAAAGACGAGAAAAGCAAGAAGAAATTAAAAGAGAAAAAATTTGAGTTTAGATTTTTGCTGTTCTTAAAACTTCCAATAATTTCTTCCAATCATATTCATCCAAATTCATTCATTGAATTAAAGGGAGACAAGGGGAAAAAGGTAGCAGCAGTAGAATAGACGATAATAAAGCTTAAAATGTTTTAAGTTCAATAAACCATTTAATAAGCGACAATAAAAATTTGGCAAATAAAAAAAAGAAATTTTTTTGACAATGAAAAAAATATCTCAGTCGATGATTGGAGATATTCAGTTTAGTAAACAAATAACTGTAACGGTGTTTGCCTACTACTGTAGCCGCTGTTTAAACACAACCATTGTCGTCTCACTGTGTCAGCAACAGCTCAACAACAACAACAGTTTCAGATACTAAAACACAACAAAATACAACTTTATTCACCCTTATTGACAGATCCTCGTAAATGATTGCTTTATTCTACAACAGTCTTGACCAGCTTATTCAAATAACCAGTTTTTCAGTATAACTCCCTCCCCGCAAAGAAAGAAGAAAGCGAAAAAAAACAACTTGTTACAACATATCAGTTGATTCGATAAAACAAGTGTTCGGGTAACAAGTAAAGCATCTAAGCTACCATGCAGTCAGTTTAGTCTGTCTACAGATGACTGGTTACCATTTGTTGTTGCCAAATGATGCTTAACCACTCTTTGATCATTCAAAAAACAAGACAATTTTATACTGGTGAAGTTTTTGTTTGTTCAGAGTACAGAATAATTTCTCTCTTTTTTCTTTTCACTAATGGCAAAAAAAAACTTTAAAATATTTTTTTTTTATTGACCATCTGGTTGAAAAAATTGATTTTTTTTTCTCTTTATTCTTCAACAGCAACTCTTCAACAGCAAACAGATCATCATTTTTGTCGACAGCAAAAGTAAAATGCTTCTTTTTTTTTTTTCTGTTCACAGTATCTTGAAATCTATTGCAAATTATTTTTGCTTGTTCATTGGCTATAAAGGATTCTCACAGCACCAATAGTATGATGAGAGCTTGATTAGAACAAAAAAAAAAATAAAAAGTAAAGTTTAATCGGAAACTGAAGCAGTGTTTGACTGGCCGAACAATTACTGACTGGTGTCTGTTACCAACTGACGGTGAATATGCTTGAGAAAGCTTAACTAAACCGGACAGAGAACAAAACCTCATAAAGTTATATCCCCTAACAGTTTTGCTTCTCCACTGCTGTCCTTCTGCTTTCTTTCCACTCCTTCTGTATTTTTTTTTTCACAATCATTCATTGACTGTTTTTTTTTCTTTTTATAGAAAACTACAATTTTTTTTGTAAAAATAAAACGATAAACGTTAGAGAAAAAAGGTTGGAGAAAAATTGTGCACATATAACAATTTTGAAGGTTTTTTTTTTTTTTTGGCTTATACAATCAGTTTTCTGGCAATAAGACTTTTTTCCTTTTTGCCTTCCTTTGGAAATAAAAAAGAAGACGAAGAAGACAAAGATAGAGTGAAACAGAAAAGACAACGATAGCACCAAAAAAAAAAAAAAGAGGTTGACGACGTTTGATAGTTAGTATACCGCACATACAGATAGAAACAAGTTTTTTGCTGAAAAAAAAAAAA